GTATACAATAATATATAATAAATATATTTGGTATTCTGAGAATAAATATATATATTTGATGCATAAATATTTATTTAAATATGATAAATATATTTACTATAAGAATATATTATGCTAATATTTTCTTGAGATTATTTGTGAGATATAATACGAAAAGTAATTGAAAATGKGAATTTCTAATCTGCTATACGCAAGGGTATCAACTCAGCCATAATCCGGATCAGAGCTCCTCCTTTTAGTTATTTCTCTCTTGACATTTTCGAGTCACGAACCTGACTTCATGTTTTGCCCGTATGTGTGGGCGTGGTTTTGTGTGTGTGTTTGTGTGCGTGTGGTTTGCATGCTGCCAACACTTATACACTGTCGCTCTGGATATGTTTGTTGACCTCCCCCAGAAGCTAGCTACTACACAGCCGAGCAGGGAACGTGACTCTATGACCGAGTGCTTAGTTTGGTATGAAATGAAATGGTGGTGGTCTCTGGTGGGGCTGTGGACGCCGGGTGCAAGGCGTGGCAGAGTGTTAGCATTTTTAAAGTGCTGCGCTTAAAGTGGATCAGTTTTGGGTGCCAGCTACAAGAGGGTCTTTAAAGTCCGCTGTCATCGGAGTTAAGTTTCGGTTAAGCTGCGGCACGTGGCGAGCATGGCATAAAACGAGGCTCACGAAATTCAATTAAATCTTGTATAATTTTATTGCCTGATTTGGGGCTGTAAATCAAATCATAAAGTTTCTATTGCCCAAGCAATAGAACGCAGTCCAATTAGATAGACTTTCAATGTAAGCGAGGACTACCATTTAATGTGAGCGATTTGGGCTATTTAATGGCTAAACTGTATGCAATTACAAGGGACAGTGGGGGCAGTTGATGCAGTGCAGCAGTGGGGAATCGGGGAATCGATTTTATATGGGATATGGGATTAAAAGGTATGCAGAGCTTGATACGAATAAAGTTTTGTCTGAGATCATAAGATCTTGTTTATAGAGATCTGTGAGAGAATCTATCTAGTTTCAAGCAGACTCTAACTGAAAATTGTTTAAAATATATCAGAATATTAAAAATTTTCAAAGACAATTCGAAACTTTTCTAGCTAAAGCTGTAAATTAAAATAAAATACATTGGCAGTTTGTTTAAAAAGGATATTAGTTGGCCAATTCATCGACGAGCTGCACCACGGGCATAAACACAATATGCGTGAGCAGAAAGTCATCCAGAAATGGATCCATGCCGCTGACAGACTGTCCCAGGCGCGTCTCTAACAAATGCTCCAGCATTTTGTTTGGTGTGCCCGACATCACGGTATATCTATATAAAAGCAATGTATATGTACATATATATATATATA